TGTAGCTAGTTGTTCTGTTTGCCCTGGTGGTTACATCATCTCCCTCCACTCAATTGTTTCATGGCACAGAAGAGAGAAGGATCACCTTGTGTCCTCCTTTCCATCTCTGCTCTGCTGCCATGATGTACTTAAAGGGGTTAAGGAATCCCCAAAGGCCACTCCCTTTAGGAGGGTCCATGCTGAATTGTTTCCTATAGCTTTGCAAAGTTGGGTGCCTTTTGATCGAGATCAGTGTTTTTTGGCAACTTTAAGATGGGTGGACTTCAATGCCCAGAATTCCCTATGCTAGACTTCCCATGCTGGGAATTCTGGGTGTTGAGGTCCCCCCATCTTAAAGTTGCCAGCGTTGAGAAACACTGATCGAGACAGAGAGATAATGCAGATGGTTGATATTAGATTGCCTCTGGCCTTTTCTCCTGTCTTTCTTTTTCTCTGCTTTGGTTTAACGGTTTATTTAGGTTTGCTGTTGTTTAATTTGTTTGCGGATGTTAATAAATAAACACGAAGCTCTGTGTTTGCTCGCTGATCCGTGAGTGCGCCTGCTCTAACCTGAAGACAGGGATTGGCTGGGAATATGCTGGACACAAACTAAACTGGAAATCACGCAGAATAATTTTCCAACACACCCAATTTGCTAAACCATCACTAACCAAACTAAAGTTTTCTTATTTATTTGATTTTTACCCCATCTTTATTTTTGGTCAACCCAAGGCGACATACATACCTAAGGCTCCACCTCCTATTTTCCAGCCACAACAACCCTGTGAGGTAGGTTGGGTTGAGAGGGAGAGACTGCCCCAAAGTCACCCAGCTGGCTTTTCTGTCCAAGACAGGACTCGAACTCGGGGTCTCCTGGTTTCTAGCCTAGTGCCTTAACCACTAGACCAGTGTTGTCCAAACTTGGCCACTTTAAGACGAGTTTGGACAACACTGCACTAGACCAAACTGGCTCTCAGTATATGTGAATGGTGCACAATAATTAAATACCCCCTTTAAAAATGGGTATAGTCTCTTCCACTTCTAAAATTTTTATCTATGAAAGATCCATTAATAGGGAAATTGACCACATACCAAGTAAAGGTGGCCAATGTTTGTCAGTGCAGTTGTAAATCCCAGTTGGATGGGACTGAGAAACCTAGTTTATACCCTGAAAGAGGAGGACTGAGATAAACGTTTCTGTTCTTCAGTGATTACAGAAAGGGAAAACTCAGCTTTCTGGGTGGAACAGCAGGAAACCAGCAGAAATTCAAGAAGGAAATGAAGAAAACCAAAAAGAAAATGAAAAAAAATGAACATGAAAAGAAATCGAAAAGAAAATGAAAAAAAAAATGGACCCTCTGCCGAACGACTGCGATTGCAGAACGCGAAGCCCACGAAGGGATGGAAAAGCAACATCCTCTTTTAGGAGCCACATTGGCAAACTTCTTCCTGTGAACTTGCAAAGGCGCCCTTCTCTGCTGCAGGGACACAGACCACCGCCGTGGAAATGGGGGTCTGTGAAACACGCCGAGCCCAGGATTTCCAAGATTCCCATCTGAGAGCATTGCAGGCTTTCCAGCAGAGGTATCCGCAGGGGCTGGTCAAAAAAGTCAAGATGGCGGTCTGCCTTCCCCCCCTCCCCTTTATATTGTTTGAGTGTCTTATTATAAAACCCAAGTAGCACATTATCTTATTGGGGTGCAGTGGTACTTATGCAGGGTTGACTGGAGATTAGGAACATGCTCGTGCTTATATATAAAAAAGAGCTTTACGCCAATATTAACTATGATTTCTAAAATGTTAATGTTGATAAGCGTCAGGTTGTTTAAATTTTACATCTAAAGCTGAACGTGGCATTGATGAACAACTGCAACATACGTTGAATTATTTGGCGTATAATAAAGGTTTCTGTCTTAAGCTTCAGACTTAATACTGAGGTCTCCACCATATTGTTACTTATTATTATTTATGCATATTAAAAAATAAAAACCACATCATAACCAACAACAAACAAAAGTTTAAAAAGCTGTTAGGTTTCTAACTTCCCCCTTCTTGTGCCTCTGCTAGTTTGCAGTGTTTATAAGCATTTAGGCTCCTTAGAAAACATACTGTGTTCATATTTGCCATGCTGGACAAAATAGTTTATTGGGAACCCTGATAAAAAACAGGGAGAGCTTCGATTACACTGTCATGGCCACCATCTTGCCTTTTTTGACCACTCCCTGCAGAAAGCCAGATGAAATAAAAATAATATTCTAAACCAGCATTTCTAAGCGTGGTCTGAGGACCGCTAAGGGTCCCCCAAGACCTTCTCAGGCGTCCGCCAAATCAAAATCATTTGCCAGGTATTGAAGATATTTGAAAAAAATTAAAACAAGGTCACTCTTCGCATTATTATTTTTTATTTGTTTAAGCAATGTTTTATTTATGTTAATATCCAGTGGGTTTAACAGTGTTATTTTTACACGATTCAATACATATTCTACAAAGGCGTCAGTTTTAGTTTTTAATATGATCAATATCAATCAATACAAACAAAAGCTTTGTTTTTGTATTGATTGATATTGATATATTGATATTGAAATGTAGGGGACTTTTGGGGTCCTCTACATTTTTTGAAGGCGTCCTGAGGGGAAAAAGTTGAAGAAACACTCTTCTAAACAGAATCACACCGTCTCATAATTTGCCGGTCTGCCAGGCCACCCAGAGCCCCCCATGAATTGCTTGCCGGTGGGCAGGGGCTGCCGAGTCGAGCTGGGCACAGAATCAGCCCCCAGATGCGGTTGTGAAGACGCGTCGCTCTGCGCCTCTCGGTGCTCCTCCTTGGACGGGATCTCTGCAAATATCAGAGGCGGCTGCTCCTGCGTCAGGAGGTTGTGCTTGACCCCGTCCGAGGCGGACACAGCGGCACGCGGCTCCGGAGACTGGCTAGGCTGGCATCTCGCACGCTAGGGTAAAAGACAGGCACTGGGTGTGCGACTCAGTGTGCTTTTTGTACACCAGGCAAGTGGGCGGATTCAGTAAGGAGCCAGCTTGGTGTTATGAAAGTGCCAGACTAGAAACCCGGAGACGGTGAGTTCTAGCCCTCTCTTAGACCTTGGGCCAGTCCCTCCCTCTCAGCCCCAGGAAGCAGGCAATGGCAAACCACTTCCGAAAAGCCTTGCCAAGAAAACTGCAGGGACTTGTGCAGGCAGCCTCCAAAAACCGGAACGCGATTGAACGGATTTTAAAAAATCACACAGAGTGCCTGGACTATTGACCAGTCCTGGTGCTACACCTTGATTTCCTCTCACACATGCTAGTGTCACGTTTTAATAAAACAGACGTTCAATGTATTTCTTGCGTTTTATATAGTGCCCAGCGGGGCGGTTTTAGTTTTCATCGATAGCAAATTATTGGCTGGAATCCTCTATCTTCCTCACGCCCTTGAGTTGGCAGAAAAGGATGCCAGGATAATTAGTGTCGCTTTGATGACCAAGCCCTCTTCTGCCTGGGGAGCAAGGCTGACGGGTGACGCTGTGCTCTAATGAGGGATAATTTAAGGGCAGTGATTGGCGGATTCCCCTGGGTTCATTTCCTCTCTTCTGAGTGTCTGCCACACTTTCAAAAGACCACGAAACACATGTTGAGGAACAGGTCAGACGTTCTTCCAGAAGGACACCAAACCCACAGAGAGAAGTAGTCTGACGGTGCCCGAAGGAGGCCTTGTGACGCGCAGCTCTGGCACTTTGCAGACAAATGCCTCTCTGGAAGTGGGAAATCCGTTCTCTGCTGCAACCGACTGCCATGGATGGAAGCGTCCAGGGGCCAAGAGGCGCGGAGTTGCCCAGAGCAGCCCAAAGTGGCCCGGGCAGCGGGGAAGATCCCAGCCCCTGCCTGAGTTGCTGCCAGTTTTGTCACAGACTGTCACAGCTTGGTTTGTGTGGCAACCGGGGAACATGCCTTTCAACCCAGAACAGCTCACAGCAAATCAAAGCTGCCTGGTGGAAACAGGTCCTTAGTGGGGCATCTTTGGGCCGTGGGTAGGGAGATGTGAACGTAAGTCCTCTGAATCCCTGCGAGGCACGAATTGCCTGGATTTGGCTTCCTTCAAAGCACTGCTAAAAAGTCAAGTTGATTAGGGAACATTTGAGTTTACTTACAAGGGCAAGCAGCACAGAATTTCTGCAAGAAGGAAATCGACCTGTAAAATTCACTGGAAAACCAGATCAGTCAGTGTTACGAATGCTACAGTTTTGGTTTTGGACAGACATCTGGTATTTTTCTATTAGGGAACCGGCAGAAATCCAAGAACGCAGAACAGAGTACGGTGGTTCTATCTATACCATGTTGTGCGAACCGAGCCTTTTGTTGTTGTTGTTCCTGCTAGAAGACAAAACTCTTCTCCAAAACCCCAACCACGCCAGTGGGAACTTCTCCCGAAATGTGAATTGTGCTTTTGAAGCCCTGCTTCTCCCTGTGTTCAACATGGAAGGGGGAAAAGTTCATTATTTGTTTCTTTGTTTTGTTTATTTATTTATTCGTCATATTTATATGGCCGCACGTCTCACAAACAAGAGACTCTGGCTGGTGCACAACAAAGCTAAAAACAATAAATATATACAAACAATTATTAATATGATTATTATTTAAAAAATAAGATTATAAAAGACGTAAGCTAAAAAGAAAAATAAAAAATATTAGGCGAAGAGCAGGTATTAATGACACTGGAGCCATCTCGATATTTCACCAGTTCCCGGGGTCCCCACACCCCGTCTGTGCTGCCTAAAATGGATGGTTGGTGTGAAAGATGTACAGATACATCTGGAATAAGTGTTATGAGAAGTTTATGCTGCTTTTTTCCTGCATCCGAAGCTACTGAATTTTCCATAATTGACACGGGAAGAGGAAAGTTGTTCTTTCAGATGACTTTAAACTCAAGGCCTGGTAAATCAATGTAGCTTGGTTAGACTTTCAACTCATTTGTGTTAACTGAGGAAATCAAAGTTCACCAAGAGACCAAAGCCTTCCATTCTTCTAAGATGGCGGTGAGTGACTTATGGCCCTCCAGATGCTGTTTAACTGCAGCTCCCATCATTCCCCCTTCCCTGGCTATTCAGGCCAAGCATGGTGATTGGAGCTGAAGAACATCTGGAGTGGTCATCTTTTTCATCCTGCATGAAGACAATCTTAATGAGGGTTGGATGTCTTGGAAATGTCCACATAGTCTTGTCTCTCCAACCACGAGAAAGAAGTAATTGGCAGCTTTCCAGAATTTAAAAAAAAATCCTTCTAACTCATACATATTCTCATTGGGAATAATGAAACATCTGTATCTGCAGCAGCCTACATCATCCAAAACATGGACCTATTTGGGCCAAGGCTCAGAAGCAATCTGTCATCAGAAGTACCTTCATGGAACACCATCGTTCTCATCACTTCTTCTTAATACCATCCACTCATTTTGGGGGAGAAGAGCTATGGACCTCTCTCAGGTGAGGCTGATTCCCATCTTGAATTGCAGAATCTTCATGTTCTGAGTACTGTGCAGAAACATCAAGCACCTCACCCTCAAAGGGAGCTCCAAAACATTTTCCTGGAGAACATCCACATCCATAATGAAATCTATATTATTCATAATCTATAATCTGCATAATCCCATACTTGTCCACCTGAACATACCTAGTTCTCCTTTTCTCAGGGTTTTTCCCTTCTCCCCATGACAACAGTCAAAGCAGGTTCCCAGATGTGGTAGACTTCCCTTCCCTTCATTCCAATTAGCTGGGCTAAACCGAAGAGGTAAAGATATGTATCAATAACCCCCCAACCCTGCTGAATGGCAAAGCCATCTTGGCTGAGCTAAACAGGTCCCCATGGGCCCTGCCAGGGCTAACTGTAATCCTATCTGGGGAGCCATCTTTGGGGTACATTTCACCTATCATCCGGACCTGAACCAGCGTGCAGTTAAGTAGAGCATCTCTACTTCTTGGAAATTTATCAGGTCTAGATCCCACTCTTCATTCAAGTACTCAAGGTAGTATATGTAGCCCACTCTTCCCCTATTTGTCCAAGAGAAAAAGACTGGCCCCAAGTCCCCTGGGGAGCTTCTGTGGCTGAGTGGGGACTCAGACCTGAGTCTCCAAGTATCTATCCAGCACCTTCACCACTACACCAGGTTGGCTCTGGGGCTGAGAGAGAATGACTGGCCAAAGTCCCTCAGGGAGCTTCTGTGGCTGAAGAAGGATTAGAACCTGGGCTTCACGGCTCCTAAATCCAACACTTAAAACCCTGCCTCACATTGTTTTTCTCAAATTAACCTACTCTAAGCATGATCTGGTATGTCATTTAAACTCTGATGAACTTAGTAGCTTCCTCTGTTGTTCTGAATTTTTTTTCAGTGATTATGGATTGAAGGAAGCCAAGAAGAGTTGGGTGGGGCTCTGCCTCCGCCTCCGTGCATGGAAGCTCCAATGCTTATCAAGACAATGTGCAATTTTTTTTTTAATTTGTAGTATTAAAAAAACAGGAAATTCTACCTGGGCAATCATTTCCAAAGTGTCAGAGATGTTTGGCCATGCAGGAGGACATTCATCTATGCTTTGTCATGCCACCTGTTTTGCCTCTTCTGGATAGCAATCTTACCCATCATTTGTGGTTCAGCTGTATTTAGGGTGCTCTACAAACGCGTTCAGAGGTTGCCTAAGCTGGATCCTGGCTGCAGGAATCCAGGCACCCACTAGATCACCACTGAGAGGTACAGGAAACTCTAAATCTTTGCAACCATCTAGGGCAGTGTTCCTCAACCTTGGCAACTTCGAGCTGTGTGGACTTCAACTCCCAGAATTCCCCAGCCAGCCATGCT